ATGTTATCCTTGGTTTTTTGTCTGGTCTTCTCCAGGTTCTCTTTGGTCTTTGCTCTGGTCTTATCCATCTTCTGTTTGGAGAAGACAGTCTTCAGGTTTTGGACACGTTGCAGGCTGCTACGCTTGATGCGTTCAGCTCGTGTCTCCTCAATGTTGTCTTCAATTTCCAGCCCTTCTTCATCCGAAGAAAGATCTACATGGGGCTTGTCCTCCTTGTCATCCTCTTCTCCTGCTTCTCCAGGTTCTTCCACAGCTTCTTTAAGCTCTAACAGACTGCCTCCTCTGCTTCCCGATACAGACTCAGAAGCCCTCATGGACTTGGAGATGCTGAGTTTTGAGGGAACTTTCACTTCATCCTGTGAAGAAACAAACATAAAGGGGTTTGAGGCTAAATGGGACGAGCAGAGAATAACAAGAATAAAACAGAATAAAATCATTGCTTTCATTTCACTGGTTCTCGGTCTGTAGACTGGTTCTAATTCATCTCAATGAACGGTAGATTTCACAGGAACATCAGCACTGGTATCAGCGGCATAGTTTTGGGTTTAGCATTGGAGGGCTGGGTTTTGATCAGTTGTTGTTGAAATCAAATAACACTTTTTGTAAAAATGCAAATTATAACAAAAACACAAAAAATCCAGAAGTAAACATTAAAAAACATTTTTTTTACCTCCCGCTTCATCCAGGACTGGGTCACAAGGTAGCAGCTTCAGCAGAGACTCCCAGACCTCCTTCTATCCAGACCTCCTTGTATCCTGGCCACCCTCTATTCAGACCTCCTTCTATCCAGACCTCCTTCTATCCAGATCTCCCTCTATCCAGACCTCCTTCTCTCCAGACAGACCTCTACCCTGACCTCCTTCTATCCAGACCTCCTTCTATCCAGACCTCCCTCTATCCAGACCTCATTCTCTCCAGACATACCTCTATCCAGACCTCCTTCTATCCAGATCTCCATCTATCCAGACCTCCTTCTCTCCAGACAGACCTCTACCCTGACCTCCTTCTGTCCAGACCTCCTTCTATCCAGACCTCCCTCTATCCAGACCTCCTTCTCTCCAGACATACCTCTATCCAGACCCCCCTTCTATCCAGAGATCCCTCTATCCAGACCTCAATCTATCCAGACTCCTCCTCCAGCTCTTCTGGGGAAGCGTGAGATTCTCTAGGTGCTCCCTCCATGATGTCCTGGTCCTCCTGCTGGTGGGACGTCCCTGGAACCCCTCAGAGGGAGGTGTCCATCAGATAAAGATGTCTGATCCTCCATAGCTGACTCCTCTGGATGTGGAGGAGAAGCAGCTCTACTCTGAGCCTCTCCCTGATGACCCAGCTCCTCACCCTCTCTCTGAGGGAGAACCCAGCCTCCCTGCAGAGGAAGCTTGGATCCAGGACCTGGTACTTCTCAGATTTATTGTAATTTCTTTTCATATTTAACTTTTTCAAATTCAAATTCTTCAAACTGTTTTTGTTTTATTTTTACATTTAATTTTTAATTTGATTATACAGATTTTTTTTATTTATTTGTTTTTCATGTTGCTTAAAGGTTTTATCTTTAAAGAAAAGCGTTTTCAGTTTCTATTAAAAAAAAAGTGAGATTTTTGAGCGATTGCCTGCAGCGGCATGTCTGCAGCATGTCTGCAGCATGTCTGCAGCATGTCTGCAGCATGTGCTCACAGGGTCTGGTCTGAGCATCAGGAAGATTTATTTTCAACCACTTCATGATACTAAAGGCCTGGTTATACTCCTGCAGCAGTGTATTGCAGTGAGCTTGATGCAGACATTTTTGATTTATGCTCCATATTGAAGCGTGGTCTTTGCTATACGCTGTGGGTCTAGATATGGCCGAGGCGATGAGGAAGTGGGGGGCGAGTTTAGTCCGACAACAGAGGGACATGAGGGTGAAGAATAGCGGGGATCCAGATGGAAAAAGGGGCCCAGCGTTCTTCCGCTCCTCGCTCTTTTAGCTGGTTGTTTTCCGCAATTTCGGTCATTAAAACCAAATAAGCCAGCCATACCAGAGGACCTGGTTTTGAAGTATAAATCAGCCTTAAACTGAATCATTTCCTAATTTTAACATAAAGATGCTCAACTTCAAGCAGAGAAGCTGAAACTGTTTTCAAACATTTCATCTTTTTATTGTTTTCATGTTTTAAATGTTTTACATTCAATAATAGACTTATTACTATCTGTCCTTAGAACATCATCTCTCTTTCACCATCAGAATTGTCCAATAAGGCGGCCCGGTATCACTATGGAACACGCCCACTGACCACAACCTTTAATCTGCAGAAGGGATGGAGAGAAAGGAGGAAAGGTGCCCTGGTCTGGACCAGAACCAGAACCAGAACGGCTGGGACTCTGCTTTCTGGAACCAGACATCCATCCAGGGCCGCTGGCATCGAGTCTGGACCACCGTCCCTCAGAGGAGGTGATTGCTCAGCCATTTAGGTAGAAAGAAAGAGCTACAGTTCTGGTTCTGACCCATTTGTTTCACTAGAGGTGCAAACCACTCTTCCAGCTGGTCTCCCTGACGTCTGGCCCCACACCGGCCCCTGATCCAAACAGGAACCCACTTCAGCCAGAACAAAGGAGTCCCAGAGTGTGTGTGTTTGGTCGGGGTGTGGAAAGCGGACATGTTTTTCTGCTTTCGTTCCTCAGAGTCTTGGAAAAGCATCACTCCAACAGGAAGATGATAGCATCTGTGCAGGTTTTCCAGGGTGGAGACACGTCCATTGTTCACTTGGGGGGGCGATATGCCTGGATGGAAATACTTTAACAACAGAGGAAATTCTCGGCTGAGCGCCTGATAGTCTTTGCGTGTCCCCGGTCCATGGAAAGACTTCAGGCCTCCACCTCCGTATTCTCACTTCCTGATCAGCTCATTTAATGGGACATTGTTCTGCCGCCCCAAAGACAGGAAGGTACGGTCAGAGTGCTGGAAAACATGAAGGAGGTAGGTCATAGCTCTGAGCCCCGGGAGGGCCACATAATGACCTCGCTCCTAAACCACTAAAGAGAGAAAGGAGGTGTTTGGAGTTTCAGAGCAGGACTTCCTGCAGCTGGCAGAGCTGGAAAAGGCCAGAAACAGTCTGAAGATGGAAACTGAGCATCAGGGATGGGAGGCCTTCTGACACCACCTCACACACTCAGCTGCAGGAACGCCGGCCACAGGAGGAAAACATGGAAGGAGATTTCCTCCATGCAGTCTCTGTGTCCTTCTGATGTTACCATGGGAACGGTTGTCCGATCCTCGCATTAAAGCTTTCAATCATGAAGCTTCTGTATTTCAACATTTCTTCCTGAATCAGTTCAGTTTATTTTGAACAATTTTTTCATGAAATCGAGAATTCATTAAATCCTTTCCCACAATCCCAATCAGCCTTTAAAGCGGTTTCTGAGGAAACCGATTGGTTGAATATTTGGCCTTTGGGTCAGCCAGCGGCTCTATCTCTATAGAATCTCTATTTCTACAGAACCGGTACCGACTCTATCTCTATAGAACCGCCATGTTCAGTGTCCACCCTCGCCCTCCCTGTCCTTTGCACTAAAGGTGCCAACAGGCTCAGCTGTCTTTGGAGCTGATGCATCTTAATCAGAACCGGTCCAATTGGACGCAGCTCTAGATTAGCCTACTCTGCTCAATCTAGATCAGGGATCCCCAGAGTCGGTCCCTGAGGGCTGCTGTCCTGCAGGTTTTAGAGGTTTCCTGCTCCAGTACAGCTGATTTCCATTGATAGCTGATTAACAGGCTTTTGCTGAGCTGCAATCGTCAGAATCAGCTGTGCTGAAGCAGAGAAACCTCTAAAACCTTCAGGAAAATAGGAAAACATGTTTTAACAGTGAATAAAGTGTTTGCAAAGGTTCAACCAATATTTTTCTATTTTATTCAGATTTTCCAAACTTTTCCTTCAGGTTCTATTTTTCTCAGAGGAGGACAGCAGCCATGACGGGTCAAAGTAAAAACAGAAGCAATGTTACCAAACTGTTTCCTTTTCCCCAGATCTCCATGGCAACGGGCATAAACAACCAGACAGTGTTTAGTGAAAGAAAAGGCTTTTCATCAACATGTGTGTGTGTGTGTGGGGGGGGGATTAGTGGTATTTAACCCCCCCGGTACCGGGCAGGGAGCGGCAGCAGCTGCTGGGTTCGGGGCGGTTGGCTCTGCAGCCGCTCTGCAGGCAGACTTGGAGTCAGACAGGAATCCTGCGGTAACACGCCCAGCTCTGTTCCTGGTTTCCTTTAACCTCCCTGCTGCCATGGAGAGCCAGATGGGGTGTTTTTATTTGACATTCCATCACAGATGCATGAGGGAGGATTTTCCAGCAAACTCAGGAAAACAGGGAATCCTCTGGACATCTTTGCTGATGTAGGAGAGCAAAGCTTCAACCTTCTTCACCTCCTGAACTCCAAACCAGTTCATGCTCTCCATGTGCTTAATGGAGATGTTAGCTGAGCTGATGGAGGTGACCTCCTGGTGATCAGACTCAGGCAGAGCTCAGAGCTTCCTGTAGAGCAGGGATTCCCTCAGCAGAGGGAAGGGTGGTTGTGGGCAGAGCAGGACTCTTCCCTTTAATCAGAGCCATGAGAGCAGAGAGGGAGAGATTGCTATATAAAGTGATGGCATGCTGCACGTCCCCATGGGAACAGAGAAATAATGAGTCACTGGGTTACAGCCGACAGGCCTTCTTCTTTCTCTCTGTTTTTAACCTTTTCTGGGTCGACTCGTAGAACCAAGCAAATCAGTTTAAACAATGTTTTCTCCTAAATAGGAATAGTTTTCCTAATGTAAGCTTTTCTATCCTCATGGAGCCTCCAAAGCTCTTTGTCCTCCTCTAATGTGAGAACTCTGCTTGTGTTGAGCAGCAGAGGAAATATGAGCAGAGCGTGCCAAGCCTGCAGGAAAGCGTGAGGAAGCTCCATGGAGCTAACAGCCCTGCTGCAGGACACTGCTCTCCATTGTTGGAGCTCACATGGTGCCACGCTGTGTTTCTGGATCTTCTGACAATTTTTCTTTCATCAGCAGATCAAATGCAATCACAAGAGACGCACACTCCCTCCCACAAATATTGTCTCATGTGACCAAAGACCAGGGAAACAGAGGCTGAAGCCTCCTCCTGAATCTGAGGCACACATGAGGAGCGACCTGGAGTGACCTCCTCCTGGACCCAACTAGGAGAAGATCCATCAGAGCCGTCTCTCCTCTCGGAGCCTCTCAGGGTCTATTTACGCTCCTCCATGGCTGACTAGCAGAGATCTGGGCATTCATGGATGAGACTGGTCGTTTCTATGGCAACCCTTTGTTTTTCCCGGTAACAAAGGAGACTGCTTTTAATGGAGGTTCTCTCTTAGTCCTGTT